AGGTTGTTGTTGTTATTGTTAAGTGCCATTGAGTTGGTTCCGACCCATAGCGACCCTGTATAGGGTTTCCGAAGAGCAGCTAGTAAGCTTGAACCACCGACCTTGCAGTTCAAACAGCTTTGCAGTCTGGCACATTAACCCACAGTGCCATACCAGCACCCCAAACTAACATGAGTCTAGTATATAAGTATACATAAGGTGGCTTCAAAAAGTTCATGGAAAACTGAATTAAAAGATAATGGATTTTTTCCATTAACTTTTTTTTTTTTTTAAGGTTTTTATTGTGGATTGAGTGAAAGTTTACAGGGCAGATCATTTGTCCATAAACTTTTTGAAACACTAGACTGTTAACTGAAAGGCTGGTGATTCAAACCCACCAGCTGCTCCTTAGAAATCCTATACAGGGTTGGCTATTGTGGGAACCATTCGATGGCATTTAACAACAACAATATATGAATATTGAGAAAATCAAATTAGCAGAGGCTGGTGAGTGATTGAACATTGGTGGGTCCAAGGCAAGTGGTAGGGGTAACTCCCTGATAGAACTTGGGCACCCAGGAGCATGGGTAGAGAGTACAGGAGGAACAGCTCCCCACACACCCACCTTGATATCTTCCTTGGTGAGCCTGGGCCAGGCAACATTCTCCTTCCACTTTCTCACAAAACAAGTAATGGAGCGACTGGAGCGCTTATCCTGTGAGTCCTGCCAAAGAGAACACCTCATTGCCAGGGCCAGACGTTTAGAATGAATCTCCAGTTTCCATCCAGACTTACTGCCCTTGGAGCTTTTACCTTGGAGTTCACCTTGGCGTACAATTCAATCTCATTGTATAACTCCACTCCATCGGCATTCTTGCAGCTAAAAATACAAAGTAGCTAAGGAAACCCAGGAGGCCCAGGAAGTTATGGGAAAGAAAAAGTTCCTGGGCAGCCTGGCCCTGTAGAAGAAAGGGTCATTACCTGAACACAATGCGGTGGTCCTCAATGAGCACATGGGCATCAGTGTTGTCCTCAACGCAAAACTGCATGAACACATACTTGGGCCTGTCATACCACAGAGTCCGGGCATGCTGCCTGGAGAGGAGCAGCAGTGGGGCTTCATAGGGTTGGGAGAAGGAAGACTGAAGGGCATTCGGGAAAGGAGGAGGGAAGGGTAAATATAGGCACATTTGATGCCACATTCCTGTCAAAGTAAAACTAATGAGACAGACCCGATGCCAAGCAGGAGGGACAGGAGTGAGGATGAAATCTGGAGCAAAATGAAAGTGTGAAACCAGGGAGGTGGGGAGTTAGAACATTCAAGTCACACTTCCCCTCTTCCCACAGTTACAAAGGCCTGGAACGGTGGGCTCCCAGAACCTGGAGCTCTCAGGAGAAGATGAAGGGCAAGGATTCTCCTGAGGGGGAAGTTAGGGGGAGTCCCACAGCCAGAGACACTCACCCAGCCATTGCCGTTCCTGCTGCGGGTGAGATTTGGAGTCCCAGGCTGGGCCTGCTATCTTTAGATACTGGGGACGCCCCCTCCCCCCCAGCAGCTGTCTTTCCTTATATGGTGGGGGGAAAGTTGGGAGGGAGGAGGAGTGTGGCCCAACAGCCTAGGGATCCTTACATTGGAGAGACTCTGGGAGAGTACAATCCTTGCAGCCCTTCATATCGCGAGGGTCTCAGAAAAATACAGATTAGGAATAGAAGATTCCTCCTCTGGAGTTCAGAGCAAGAACTAAACTAGACGCTAAACACAAAGGAGGACTTCTGCCTGGTCTCATTCACCTGTTTCTCCAATGCTTAGCACACTGAATGCTGATCCACAACTGTTAAGTGAAGTTGAGTGGATTCTGATTTATAGCGCCCCTGTATGAGTTGTGGGTTTGAACTGCCAACGCTTATCCTACAGCGCCACATCAGGACCCCCCAGGATTCACAATGGCGGTTGGTGGTTATGTACGTGGACTTGGTTCCAACTCAGCGACCCTGTACAGGGTTTCTGAGGCTGTAAATCTTTACGGGAGCAGGAAACCTCATCTCTCTCCCGTAGAACAGCTGGTAGTTTTGAACTGCTGACCTTGAGGTTTGCAGCCTGGCACTCAATAAAAAAATTATTGGATCGAATTAAATCTGGGACATGCCCGCTCGCGACGACAGCAGAACCGTAAACACCGCCCACCAGCTCCTACAAGTCATCCAGTCAACGCGCAGTTGCCATGGCAGCAGGGGGAGCGGCTGACGTGCTGTGGCGTTTCCGGAAAGATGGCGGCTGCCGAAGAGGCTGCGGAGCCGATAATGGTGACGGCAGGCTTTGGGCCAAAGGCGAAGGACGAAGACGAGGAGGAAGAGGAGTCGCTGCCACCGTGCGAGACGGTTCGCTGGGCCCCGGTGGGGGCGGTGGCGGAGGCCGGGCCTGGGGAAGCTGCGTTCTCCGAAGAGACGTCGGCCGAGGAGCCCGGAGTGGCCCCAGCCTCCCCGCCAGACTCACCGGGCCGGACGCTGCGGCGGCTGCGGGCTGAGCGGCGACAGCTGGACTCGGCACTGCTCGCACTATCCTCGCACTTCGCGCAGGTGCAGTTCCGCCTACGCCAGGTGGTGCGCGGTGCACCGGCGGAGCAGCAGCGCCTCTTGCGCGAACTCGAGGACTTCGCCTTCCGCGGCTGCCCTCACGTCTTAGGTTATGGGGACTCCGAGGACCCTGCCAGCGACGAGGGCTACGGGCTGCCAGGGGACCGACCACGGTTGTGGGGCGAGGATCAGGTGAGAGGCTGGGGTCTGGCTCCGAAGGATATTGAAATAAAGGGAGTTGGGTGATCTGGTGGTGGTTGAGTATGCCTGCCGGAAACAGGAGGCTGGAGAGTGGTCTGTGGGGCTTGTTGAAGGGCGTTAGGGGAGAGATGCAGGTGTGTGATGAAGTGAGGAGTGGAAGAGCGACCGAAGCAACGCTGCACCCTTTCACCTTCCTTCACCTTGTGAAGTCCCTAGGTTCTAGACACGTTTGCTGATAGAGTACTCCAGCCCTGGGAACTGGAGGAATTGGGAGGCTCTGGGGACATCTGGAATGTGGAAAACCAAGTTGGAATCCATGGACGGACTTCCTTGTCTTTGCTTACCTGGAATCTAGAGAAAATCTTTAGTCTCTAGAATCTCTTGTCTAGATGAGAGCAAGACCTCTTAGTAGTGAAAAGAAACACCCCAGACCTTATGAATTTCTTACTATTGGTTTTCTTTGTAAACACCCCCCTTACATCCTGCTTAATTGCTAGGTATTTTAATGAATGAACCTGGAGGACATTAAATGTGAAATTAGTCAATCACAAAAGGGAAAATATTGTATGAGACCACTATTGTAAAAACTCTAGAAAAGAGCATTCTTTGGTGGTTATCAGGGATGGGAGGGAAAGCAGAGTAATTTACTGACTAGAGAGTTGTTAAGTGCCCTCAGTCAGTTCCCACTCAAAGTGGCTCTGTGTAGGATTTCCAAGGAGTGGCTGGTGAGTTTGAACCTCCGACCTTGCAGTTCAAACTGACTTTGTGGTCCAGTGATTATCCTATAGACACATGTTCATTCAGGTGATGGAAAGGGCAGTATACAAGAAGGGGGGAGTTGACAGAAGAATGATGAAGACATGACGCAGGGAGGACTGCAAGGGTTAAAGGGGATAGAGGTCAATAGTGTCACATGCACAGCCTTGCAACAACAGTGTTCTGAGGGTAGATACTTGGAAAGATACACAGGCTGGATGGGTATAGGAGGAAGAGAGAGAGTGTACCCCTAACTGTTGTTGATGTTAGTTGCCATCGAGTTGGTACCGACCCATAGTGACCTTATGCACAGCAGAACGAAACACTGCCTGATCCTGGGCCAACCTCAGTATTGTTGCCACGCTTGAGTCCATTGATGCTGCCACTTGGCCAATTCATCTCGTTGGGGGTCTTCTATCTATATAAGGGTCTAAAAGAGGATATTTGTACATGGCTATTTACTTTTGTTACAAACACACCTATAAATGTGATGGAGCATACAATGGGCAAAGTGATAGTAAAAAACTTCTAAGAAAACTTCTTTGTTGTTGTTGTTGTTATGTGCCATCGAGTCGGTGCCTTCTTAGATACTATCAAACATCTCAGGACTATAATCTCAGCAGCCTGCATGGTCAATTGGCATAGCATAGTCCACCAAGACAATGTTCTACATCCTATTGTGGTAAGTAGCATTTGGGATCTTAAAAGCCCATGAGTGTGTGTGCATCAAATATTTTTACTTTATTCATGTGTGAAATGTAAAATATAAATGGGGAGCCACAGGGAGGAAGTGGGGAAAATGTTGCAGAGAGAGGACTGTAGTCATTGAGCTGAAACTTAGTGAATGTAAAGCTGATGATATTGTCTGTAAATCTTCACTCCATTCACATAAAAAGTTTTTTAAAATTTTAAAGCTCATGAACAGCCATTTAAGGTGCAACTGTTGGTCTCTTCCTGTCTGGAGGCAAGAAGACTGATGAAAATTGAAGACACTTGAAAACAATTAGTCCAGTGGACTAATGGATTATGTGAACATCAAGTCAGTCTCCACGACCCTGTCACCAAAAGGATTAGATGGTGCCAGGCTACCACTGCCATGTGCTCTGAAACAGATAATATTAGAAGGTCACAGAAAAAATGGCAGAAAATGTAGACTAAAACTCAAAATTAAAAAAAAAAAAAGACTAGGCTTACTGGTCAGAAAAAGACCGGAGGAACCTGAGACTATGCCTCTTGACCACCGTTCAGGTCTGCAAAGGAAGTCACCCTTATGGCCCAGTTTTTAGCCAGGCAATAGATACGCTGTTGTTGTTGTTAAGCGCCGTTGATTTGGTTCCGACCCATAGTGACGCTGTATAGGGTTTCCGAGGAGCAGCTGGTAAGCTAAAACCTCTGACCTTGCAGTTCAAACTGCTTTGCACTCTGACACATTAACCCACAGCGCCACACCAGGATTCCAGATAGGTATATAAGGGGGTAGGTATATAAGGGGGGACAATAACATTAGTAAGGTATGCTCATCATGGAATGACCAATCTTTCAAAGTCAAAAAGGCAACATTTACCTAAGGCCAAAGTTAGAAGGGAAAGGAAGGTGAGTGGAATGAACTAGGAAACATGGAAGAAAGGGGATAACTTGTTACATGGAGGGGATTGCAATCATTGAGATGAAACAAAGTCTATGATTTGGTGAATGTAAAACTAATGATCTTGTCTGTAAACCACTCAATTCACAATAAAAAGTTTTAAAAACTAAGTAGGTATTCTAAACGATGATTTGCTGGTTGCTGTGACAAGCTCGGTTTAGTTACCTGACTCTGAAAAGTAATGAAATCCTGTGTATGTCATTAAGGCGCTATGGTGGCATGGTAAGACAAGCACTAGACTGCAAGGTCGTTAGTACAAACCCTCCAGCTACTCCTCGGGAGAGAGGTGAGGCTTTCTGTTACTGTAAAGATTTATAGCCAGGGTCTCTATGATTCCGAATCTACTGTACAGGCTCTGAATCTCTGCAAGTACACAGAAAGCTTGTTTGAGATGTTGAAGAGACTGCCTTTTCTCTACCTTTTTATTAAGTTACAACCCACATGTGGCCTTCTTTCAGTAAATTGGTTTTAGATAAGATGACTTATCAGTAGCAGATACTGACTTGTTTGTTTTAATCTTCAATATTTCCATTGCTGCCCTTGGTTTACTATTCCACCCTTCTCTCCACCTGACCACAGGGAGTACAACCTCCAGGGACCAGACTGTTAAAGGAACAGAAAGGCAGAATTACTGTGACCAGGCCTTCTTCAGGAGTGCGCAGCAACAACAACAACAAACTCCTATTTGCTGTTATGTTCACTTTCTGAAACAATGTACTAAAAAAAAAAGGAAAAGTGTAGTGTTTGGTACACCTAATAAGCACCTTAGTCATGTGGCGCTGTGGGTCAATGTGCTGGACTGCAAAGTTGGTTTGAACCGCAAGGTCAGTGGTTCAAGTTCACCAGCTGCTCCTTGGAAATTGCACACAGGGCCACTATGAGTCAGAACTGACTCAATGGCACTTAACAACAATGCATACATTGGAGCCCTGGTGTGGCACTATAAGATAAGTATTGGATGCTAATCACAAGGTTGGCAGTTCACACCCAACCAGGCACTCCTCGGAAACCTTATACAGGGCCACTATGAGTCAGACCCAACTTAATAGCCCTTAGCAAACAGACCATACATGCGTGCGTATATGGACACATGAATAGGAAGTGCTGAAATGGGGAAACTACGCTGAAAGCTTTACTTCTTACCAGGCCTGCATTATTATAAAGCCATATGTTAACTCACTTCATACTAGAAGTTATTTCTGTCCTTGCCTCTCCCTAGGGCTCATTGTTGTCTCCTATTACAAATGTGTTTGCCTGTGTTCCAGCAGACCGCACGTGTACTCTACCCACCATGACAAGTGGCAGAGTTCGTCACATGTAGTCATGAAAACATCATCCATGTTTATGTTTGCTTTCTTTCTTCCTGATTTCATGAAGCTGGCTTACCATGAAAACACAAGAAAAAGAGAATGTCCCCAGTTCTCTTGCATCTGGTTAGAGAACTTCCTCCAGTCAGAGTTCATTATTTGGAACTTGTCATTCTATTCCTAGTTCGGTTCGGTGGCATACAACAGATGTGTATTCAGAGCTTACTCGCTGCCAGGCATTGAGGGTACCAAGTCAATACTCTTGGCCTTAAAGGACTTCATAGACTAGACCAAGGGACATGGAATCCTAAACAAATAACTACAGTGATATGAACCAGAGAAGTGTGTACGGGTTGCAGAGGAGGAAATGATGAATTCTGCCTGTGGGAACCAGGGATACCTTCTCTTAGAGGAAAATTAGACTTTCTGTAGCTAGGAATGGAGAGGAGGATTCTAGGAAAAAGCAACAGTATATACAAAAGGTTTCAGAGGGAGTATCCTGAGAAATACTCATTTTTGTCTTGTGGAAAGACAAAGTGAGAGAATTCATTGCTTTTTAAATTGCTGGAACATAAAGCTTATTTTTTGTTTTTCATTTTGTTCTCTTTCATGCTTTACTTTTGGAGAGTTTGGTAAGTACCATTTTAAGGCCTTTAGACATCCAGGCTTCTAATTTAAATGGCAGCCTTAGAATAATTAACTGGTTTTGCTTTGTTTTCTATTTAATACTCAAGAAAGGCAAGGAGGAGCCAGTGCTTGAGAATTCATTGGCAAGACTTTACTACCCTGAAGAATTTTGAATAATTCAAATGCATAAACTACCTGATAACTAATCGTGATTAGAGTCACCTCCCAGACATGTTTGTAAAAACAAGCATCCCACTCCCTTTACTTGGCTTCTGATGTTTCTCAGTACCTCAGATACCTGTGCAGGGACTTTGAACTTTTAAGAAAATGGATTATGGGGACGCTCTCAGTGGATTCCTGGTGTGGCACTGTAGGGTCAGCACTGGACTGCAAATCACAGGGTTGGCAGTTCAAACCCACAAGCTGCTCTTAACAACTAACATCAAGAGAAATAACTTAGGTGTGATTGTAATTCCACAGCAGGAAGAGACGGAAAAAATAAAACTGAGAAAATTGTCCAAAAATAGTTAGAAGAAAACTTCCCAAACGTCATGAAAGACAAGAAGATAGCCATTCAAGAAGGCAAACAAACTCCAAACAAGATAGACCCCAAAAGAAAATCAGCGTATTAAATCAGACTTTTCAAACTCAAAGACAAGGAAAGAATCCTGAGAGCAACTCAGGAAAAACAAAAAGCCATCTACAAAGGAGAACTCTGTAGACTAATAATCTGATTTCTCAGCAGAAACAATGCAGGCAGGAAGACAATTGAATGACCTGTATAAAAGTCTGAAAGGAAAAAATTGCCAACCAAGAAGTAAATACCCAGCAAAATTTTCCATCAACTCTTACGGTGAAATTAGGAAATTTCCAGATAAACAAAAATTAAAAGAAAACTTATATGAGTCATGAAGACTTTTCTTTGCATCCTTAACCCAAAGGTCCTTCACAAACTTTTAGTTCTCAAAGTATTCAGGAGTTGTGCTGTGACAACTGGCTGGGAAAGATGGTATGTTTTAATTCCTAGGAGGCTGTCTTGGCTAAGAAGAGTTATCTCAACCCTAACTAGACCTTGTAGAAAAAGCTGTCTTAACAAAAGCCTCATTGTATTCATGTCCTATTGCTATGAAGGGACAGATACATTCTTAAAACAAAAACACGTGTTTAATAAATTGCCCTGGGTAAAATAGTTATGTTTTTGAGCATGCCTTACAAATTTCAGTGATTTATTTGGATTGTTTGGAAATATTTCATTTGGGGAGGTTAGTACTGACTTGAAAGGATTCTTAATGTTCCCTAAAATAGACTAAAATGTTTTCTTATCTTAGAGTGAGCGGGAGAAACGGGACCGGCTGGAAACCCAAAGGGAGAAGCAGAAGGAATTGATACTGCAGCTCAAAACCCAACTAGATGACCTGGAAACTTTTGCTTACCAAGAGGGCAGTTATGACTCCCTGCCACAGTCAGTGGTCCTAGAAAGACAGCGGGTGAGCAGACGTCAGAGGGCACCTCCATCATTGCCTAAAGCTACCATGGCCCTTCCGGCATGGGCAGGGCATCCTGGCCAGCACAAGGCAAAGGAAATAAATGTATTTCATGGGGCCATTCTCTAATCACACATGGAAAGCTTTGTGGTATGATGACTGAGCCCTGTGTTTTTGGTGACTTATTAATAACGCACTTAGCAACAACAACAGCAATAATAGTAGTTGTTTCAAGTGTTCTTCGGTCAGTTTCGGCTCAAAGTGACCCTGTGTAGAGTTTCTGAGGAGCAGCTAGTGGGTTTGAACCACAAATCATACAATGTACACAAGCTTTGTTTCTGCTGCCCACTATCAGTTGATACAGACTCAAGGATTCCAGACTGTAATACTCTTTACTTAAGCAAGATCTGGGGAGACAGGCAAATCTATTGGAAAAGACAGCTGCCACTTCCTCTTCGTGCTATATTTATGCCTGTGATATGGCTGTTTTTCTGGCTGGGCGAAAATTACCAAGTTTCTATTTGCTTCTGATAATGTGATTGGTATCATAATATTTTTTGACTGTACTACACCTTGTCATTGGAGTCCTGGTGTGGCACTGTGGGTTAATGCATTGGACTGCAAAGTCATTTGAATTGCAAGATCAGTGGTTCAAGCTCACCAGTCACTCCTTGGAAACCCTATACAGGGTCGCTATGGGTCGAAATCAACTCAACGGCACTTAACAACAACAACACCTTGTCATTATGCTGAGATTTTTCTTAGTTGCCTGAATGGGAATAGAATAAGAACTAGAAACTATATCAGTATTTATTCTCTTTAGCCTAAATATCCATACTTGTCCTAAGTGAAAACTGACTGGCCTGCTAGGAAACTTGCAGTGGGTGTGAGTTGTTTCTGTCCTAGAGGAGCTAAGGCGTCTCTTCCTACTAGAAGCAGAATCTGAGCCCCCAGGCTGATCACAGTTACACCATTTTCTCTCATAAATTTGGGAGTTGGTGTGTGTCTTCTGTTTCCATTTCCAGATAGAGGGCATTCTAGTTATAATTCTCGTCCTTCCCCCTAACCCTCTCCCTGGAAAATGCTAGGGAGTCTGCTCACTGCATGTGGTTTCGTAGGTCATCATAGATGAGTTAATCAAGAAACTGGACATGAACCTGAATGAAGACATTAGCTCACTCTCCACTGAAGAACTGCGTCAGCGTGTGGATGCTGCTGTGGCTCAGATCGTCAACCCAGCCCGAGTGAAAGAGCAGTTGGTTGAGCAGCTAAAAACTCAGATCCGAGACCTCGAGATGTTCATCAGCTTCATCCAAGGTCAGAGGAGTGGGTGGAGAGGGAAGGGTGGATGTAATAATAAATCACATGTCTTCTGAGGTCTCGTACCTAATGGTGCCAGTTCTTGGTGTACTGTTTAAGAGGGTTGATAACCTAGTAAGGGAAACAGTATGGTAGAATGGGGAAAATTAGGGATTTAGAACCAACCAGTTAAATCCCAGCTCTGTCACTTGGCTGGCTTTGTGTTCTTGGGCAGGTTACTGAACTCACTAGTGTCACTCTCCTCATCCACAGAACGACAGTTCAGTCTTCATTCACCAAACAAGTATTTATAGAGCCGGTCACTGTCGAGCACAGCCCAGCAAGACCCTTGGCTGTCCATTTATAAAGTTCATGGTGGTTGTGGTTAAGGGCAATCAAGTTGGTTTCAACTTATAGCAACCCTGTACAGGGTTTCCGAGGAATGGCTAGTGGGTTTGAACTGCCAATCTTGTGGTTAGCAGTTCAATGCTGATCCTACAGCACCACACCAGAACACCATAGTGGTGGTGGTGGTTTTGTGCCGTGGAGTCAGTTCCAACTCATAGCAACCCTATATATGGTTTTGGTGTAGGTATTTTTGTTGTTTGGTGCCATCGAGTCGGTACCGACTCATAGCGACCCTGTGCACAGCAGAACGAAGCACTGCCTGGTCCTGGACCAACCTCACACTTGTTGCCATGCTTGAGCCCATTGATGCAGCCACTTTGCCAATCCATCTTGCTGGGGGTCTTCCTCTTTTTCTCTGACCCTCCATATATCCCTCTCCAGTGACTGGTCCCTCCTGACAGTATGTCTTGTCGAGGTCCTATGTCGGGTTCCAGCCTCGACAAGGAAGTGTGGGTGTCACGAAGAACGGAGATCTGGTGGCGAAAGTGATAGAGAAAGAGAGAGAAAAAATATATACAAAAAAGACAGACACACAGATATGATGCAAGCTGGCAGGTAGACAGATCTGCAAACCTGTTGCCTAGCATTGCCCAGCATGGCACAGCATTGCATGCAGAACTCACTCTGCCTCAAGCCTTTATTCTTTAGGGAGGGATTTGTTACAAAGGAAGGATGTGATTAAAACAGGATACAGAACTGAGATGTGATTAATCATTCAAAACAGGACATAATGATTCACAGGAACAACTTTTAAGATATTTTCAATAGTTTTTCTTAACAATCTAACATTTTTATTTTTACAGAAAAAAAGGTTCAATCAAGCTGTTATATATTAACTTTTAGGCTTAAATGATCTAGAGTAGCGACGTGCGATTTCTTAAGGATACATAACATAAAGCAAGGTTCCTGAAAGGAGCCAAGCTGTCTCTGTACACTTTGCAAACTTTTGTTTGTGAGCAAGATCTCAGGCACCGGGCTTCATTTATCTATACCTGAAGTGCTACATTGTTCTTAATATGCCTATATACTTTCAGGAGGAAGGAGAGCATCTGGGTTAAACTGATTATATTTAGAGGTGGTTTAATGGGGCTGCCACTGATCAACCCAGGGTCTGCGTATGCTGTCCCCAGCAATGTCCAAAGTATGAGAGATGAAGTCTGGCCATCTTGGCCTCCGAGGAGCACTCTGGCTGTGTTTCTTCCTACACAGATCTATTTGTTCTTTTAGCAGCCCGTGGCGCCTTCAATATTCTTAAATACCATAACTTGAATGCGTCAATTCTTCTATGATCTTCCTTATTTCCTTATTCGCTATCCATCTTTCGCATGCATATGAGATTATTAAAAATACCGTGGCTTACGTCAGGCGTACCTTAGTTTTCAAGTTGACATCTTTGCTCTTCAACACTTTAAAAAGGTCTCGTGCAGCAGGTTTGCCTAATGCAGTACATCGTTTGATTTCTTGACTGCTGCTTTCGTGAGTGTTGATCATTGATCCTGAAAAAATGAAGTCTTTGATAACTTCAATCTTTGTGCCATTAATAAGAATGTTGTTTATTGGTCCAGTGGTGAGGATTTTTGTTTTCTTTACATTGAGATGCAATCCATACTGAAGGCTGTGGTCTTTGATCTTCATCAGTAAATACTTTAAGTCCTCTTCACTTTCAGCAAGCAAGGTTGTATCATCTGCGTATTGCAGGTTGTTAATGAGTCTTCCTCCAATCCTGATGCCACGTTTTTCTTCATATAACCCAACTTCTTGGATTATTTGCTCAGCATACAGGTTGAATAAGTATGGTGAAAGAATACAACCTTGTCACACACCTATCCTAATTTTAAACCATTCAGTGTTCCCATGTTCTGTTCAAACAGCTGCCTCTTGGTCTATGTACAAGTTCTTCATGAGCACAATTAAGTGTTCCAGAATACTCACTTCGCAATGTTGTCCATAGCTTGTCATGATCCACACAATTGAAAGCCTTTGTGTAGTCAATAAAGCCAGGTAAACATCTTTTTTGGTATTCTCTGCCATCAGCCAAGATCCATCAGACATCAGCAATGATATCCCTCACTCCACGGCCTCTTCTGAATCTGGCTTGAACTTCTGGAAGTTCTCCGTCAATATATGGTTGCAGCCGTTTCTGTGTTACCTTTAGTAAAACTTTACTTGCATGGGATATCAAAGATATTATCCGATGATTTCCGCATTCCGTTGGGTCGCCTGTCTTTGGGATGTGCACAAATACGGATCGCTTCCAATCAGTTGGCCAGATAATTGGCTTCCAAATTTCTTGGCATAGATGAGTGAGTGCCTCAAGTGCCTCCTCACTTTATTGAAAGATATCAATTTTTATTCCATCAATTCCTGGTGCCTTGTTCTTTGCCAATTCTTTTAATACACTTAGACTTCTTCCTTCAGGATCATTGGCTCTTGATCATATGCTATCTCTTGAAATGGTTGAACATCAACAATTTCCTTATGGTACAGTGACTCAGTGTGTGTCAAGTTGATTTCGACCCATAGCAACCCTGTATATGGTTTCCAAGGAGGAGCTGGTGAGCTTGAACTGCCGACCTTGCAGTTCAAACAACTTTGCAGTCTGATGCATTAGACCACAGTGAATATTATTTTTTCCAGAAAAATCTGCCATTAAGGGATAACAAGCGTTTTCTCTGTAACTTCTGACCACAGATGAAGGGGGAAGCCCCTTGCAGACAGGTGACGGGCACTGTGAGTGCAAGGCCAGTGGGAAGACAGGAAGTGGTTCCACCAGAACTGGCGGCAGCAGCAGACTGCCCCCAGGAAATGGCAGAGGTAAGTACACCTTCCAGAACAGGCAAATCCAGAAAGACAGAAAGTAGATTGATTCATGGTTGCCTAGGATAGAGGGATTGGGGTGAAATGGAGAGGCTCGCTAATCGTAGGGCATCTCTTTTTGGATTGATGAAAAGATCCTGCAATTTATTGTGATGGTTGTACAACTTTAAATGTACCCGCAGCAACAACAAAAAAGGAGTTCTACATTTTCAATGGATATGTTATGTGGTACATGAATTATATTTCAATAAGGCTGTTGTTAACAAAACCAAATGAAAGAGGTAAGTCCAGTTACAACCTAGGTGGCTCTTAGCTGCGTGGGCTCAGATTGTGTATCTCAGAAACAAGACCTGAGCTCAGCCTCTAACTGTTGGATGTGCCTCTGAGCAGGGGGTCTCGCACTCATGAATCGTTGTCCTTTTTCACAGGGAAGCCAGAAGACGTGAAGAGAGTTCGGGAGATGGGGCTGCACCTGATGCGGCGAGCCCTGGCTGTGCTCCAAATCTTTGCTGTTAGCCAGTTTGGCTGCGCCACGGGCCAGATTCCCCAAACCCTGTGGCAACGGGGCCAGTGTGACAGGGACTACTCTCCCTTACTACAGAGGCTGGAATTATCAGTAGACCGAGTTAAACAACTGGCCTTGAGGCACCAGCCACACGACCATGTCATCACCTCTGCCAACCTCCAGGACCTCTCTCTGGGAGGCAAGGACGAGCTGACCATGGCTGTGCGAAAGGAGCTGACGGTGGCCGTGAGGGACCTGCTGGCCCACGGGCTGTACGCCGCCTCTCCAGGCATGAGCCTTGTCATGGCCCCCATTGCTTGTCTGCTTCCAGCCTTCTCCTCAGCCCCTGAGACCATGCATCCCTGGGAGCTCTTTGTCAAGTACTACCATGCGAAGAATGGTCGTGCTTATGTGGAATCTCCAGCCCGGAAGCTGTCCCAGTCGTTTGCCTTGCCTGTGGTGGGGACTACTGTTGTGACCCCCAAACAGAGTCTACTGACAGCCATCCACATGGTGCTGACAGAGCATGACCCTTTTAAGCGCAGTGCAGATTCCGAGCTAAAGGCCTTGGTGTGCATGGCATTGAATGAGCAGCGACTGGTGTCCTGGGTGAACCTCATCTGCAAGTCGGGGTCACTCATTGAGCCCCACTACCAGCCCTGGAGCTACATGGCACACACAGGCTTTGAGAGTGCCCTCAACCTGCTCAGCCGCCTTAGCAGCCTCAAGTTCAGCCTCCCCGTAGACCTGGCTGTGCGCCAGCTCAAGAACATCAAAGATGCCTTTTGAGACAAATGCCCTGGTTCCTGAGCAGTGCCTCACTCTGTAGAGCTAGATGGATTAGTCTTCCAGGATGGGAGGAGGGCTTACAGATCTTCCCTGATCCTACATCAGTGGCCAGCCAAATGACTGCAAAGTCTGTTATCTCAACAACTTAGCATCTCAGAAAGATATGTGGGAAACCAATGTATTACGAAGGTTCTGCCTGGGAGTGTGACCACAGAATGCATATGGGGACGTATGTGTACACCTATGTAAAAGATACCCATTGTGACACAGTTGTGCACCAGCCTGCCATGCCATGTAAGAATTTTTAGAAAACTCAAGTTGCTTTAATTGTTCTCTGTATAGCAGTGACAAGAGTTGTTGGTCCCGGAAGACTTCACGTGAGGTTCCTGTTAGTCAGGTTGGGAGCCACCTTCCTTTACTTGCTGTGGGTCTGAGAATCCTTGGGTTAAAGTTTAAATTTCTCTTTAAGAATACTGATTCCTCTTTCTTCCTGACCCCAGGATGGGCGGAGCTGTCTCTTAAACTAGGAATGAGATTCTCTGAGAACAACCTTTCCAAGGGAGTTAGTCTCAAGTTGCTTTTTCTTGTGAAAACTGAGAGCTGTCCCTGCCCTGATAGTGCTCTTCTCACAGCCCAGACAGTGGTCTCCTTGTTTTCTTGGAGCAGAGTTGTTTATGAGTAAAGAGAACCAGGGTCTGAGAGTGTGTCCTCTGGCAAGTAGACTTTATTCTGTACTGCCATCAAGACTGGTAAGCCTTTTCAGAAATAAGTATACAAAAGATCTACTTGAGAGCCTCCTGCCCGTGGGCACACACCATCGGTAAGCAGCAGCAGCAGTTCCTCTTGGGGTTTGGTTCATCAGGCACCACTTGTCTTGGAGGCAGGCTGATGAAGGAGCCTGATCTTGCTTCTCCTTGAGATGATGGCTACAGTGTATTGTAGTCTGTTCTCACTATAGGTACTAAAACAGAGGTATTGATAATTCCAGCAGATTGCTGTTTACAGACAAGAGGACTATTCCTGTGGTCCCATCTGGTCTTCAGTATTTTAGCCTTGTTAGTTCATACTTCTGTCTGCTTGTTGTAGGTACTGCTCCAGGAGTGACCAAAGATTGGGTGAAATGTATAACCTGGAAAACCAAATGGGCTCCAAGCATGCCTGATTCAGAATCGTTTTCATGTGTTGCCGGCTGCACTTTCTCTGTGCACTATTGCACGGTACATTTTAACTTAAATCTTTTGTTTAGCAACATGTTACTTATTTAACTTCATTATTGATGTTTGGGTAGAATTACTGCACCTGTGTGAAAGAATTTAAGTGTAAAATGATGTGAAAAAAGATACATCTGTGATTGGTAATAAAATCATAGTATTTTGTGTAAGTTCTCTGCAAAGATCTTGGAGACTAACCCTCGTCTATGTTTTCTAAGTCCACCATGGCATTGTTGGCCCATTTGATCCAAATCAGTCTTTGAGAGTTATCTGGCTCTTGACCTTCCTGCCTCCTCCTTGACCTGGATCGCCATTTTGGTTTCCCATCATACTGCTTCACTGAAAAGTACACGTAGCATCACCACCACCCCACCCACCCCAGCCCAGGCTGCAGGCCCATTCACACAGCAGGTCTCACCACATCTGCCACTGTTGGGACTGTTGCTCTGCATCCACTTGTCAGGAAGTCATTTGGGGTGGACGATAATGACAAATCCCTGGAATCACCCCAGTAGTGTCTTTTTTGAATCCTTACATAAACTGATATAGTAAAAGGCTTTGTGTGTGTGATCTTAATGTAACTTACACTACTTGGAGCCCTGGTGTGGCACTGCAGGATAATGCACTGGACTGCAAGGTCAGCGGTTCAAACACACCAACTGCTCCTCGGAAACCCTAAACAGGGTCACTATGAGTCGGAACCAACTCCACGGCACACAAACACCACAACCAACCACATTAAGGCCAAAACCAAACCCACTGCTGTGAAGTCTAACTCCTAGCAAACCTCTAGGACAGAACAGACTGCTCCATAGAGTTTCTGAGACGAACTTCACAGGAGCAGACAGCCTCATTTTTCTCCTGCGGAGTTGGTGTTAAGTGCTGTTGAGTTGATTCCAACTCCTAGTGATCCTGCATAGGGTTTTCAAGGAGTGGCTGGTGAGCCCAAACTGACAACCTTGGCGATTCAAACTGACCTTGCAATCCAGCGCATTAACCCACAGCACCTCACCAGTAGCTGGTGGCTTTTAAGTCGCTGACTGTGGTTAACAGCCCAGCACTCAAGCTACTATGCTATCAGGCTTCCTGGACTTTTAAGGCAGTGTTCCCATTTTTCAGCTGAGGAAAGTGAACCCCACAGGCTTACCTGCGGGGGAGAGCTGAGATTTGAACTCAGATTGCCTGGCTCCAGACCCTGTTGTCTTTCCACTCTGTCATACTACATCCCATTGTAGGTTTTAGATTTTTTGTCACCTTCACACTCATTCCACCATCACACTAGGGAGAAGAAGGTATTTTGCACATACCTGCCAGGAATTACAGCTGCCAGAAGATTGGGCTACAGGGAAATGGACAGTCAGAGCTCTGCCAAGTTCTTTATGAAACCATAAGGTATGTATAGACAGTCCAGCCAGCACCCCAGCATTCACTCACATCACCTGGATCAGAACTGAGGACAAAGCTCTATTTTTGGCTTAAGAGTGAGGCAGACGGAACAAGGGAGGAGAGGGGAGCAGTCAGCCCAGGACTATAGGACTGTGCAAGAATGGAAAGAAAAAAAGCCATGGATAGCCAATGAAAGTGCAGAGTCACTGGGAAAATGAAGTATGATCCGAGAAGCATTGTTAAGCGATTTCTAAGGTGTGTATTTATTCATTATTGAGCACCAACCAACTGTGTGAGTCAGGCTAGATGCTGAGGAGAGAGAGAAAACATACTCCCTGCCCTCAAGAAGTACACGATTTTAAGAAAGAGTTAACCCAAATCAACTGGAGATGGAGTAGCTTGTTAAAACAGATTGCTGACTCCTACCCCCAGAATTTTTTATTTAGTAGGTCTGGGATGAGGTCTGAGAATTTTCATTCCTAGTAAGTTTCCCTTAGCGTTCTAGTGTGGCATTATAGGATAAGCACTGGACCTCAAGGTCAGTTTGATTGATGGTTCAAACCCACCAGCCACTCCTTGGAAACCCTATACAGGGTGGCTATGAGTTGCAACTAATTCCACAGCCCTTAATAACAAATCCATCTCCCTGCCGCTCCTCTGTTAGTTTGTCGTACTTTGGTGGCTTACATGTTGCTGGGATGCTGAAAGCTATGCCACTGGTATTTTAAGTACCAGAAGGGTCACCCATGATGGATAGGTTTCAGCAAAGCTTCCAGACTTAAGACAAGGAAGGTTCGGCTGACTAATTCTGTAAACTTGGCCACTGAAAACCTCTATGAATAGCAATGGAACACTATTAGCTCCAGAACATTTAATATTGAAATATGAATAGCATCAGAATATTATCAGATATAGTGCCAGAAGATGAACCCCTCAGGGTGGAAGGCACTCAAAATATGACTCACCTTGATGTAAATGGAATAAAGCTTTCAGGATCTTCATTTGCTGGGTTGGGGCACAACGCAAAATGAGAAACAGCTGCAAACATCTATTAATCAGAGTATGGATTATACAAAGTATGAATCTAGGAAAATTGGAAGTTGTCAAAAAAATGAAATGGAATGTTTAAAGATCAATATCCTAGGCATTCATTGAAATGGACTGGTATTGGCCATTTTGAATCTGACAGTCATATGGTTTACTATTCTAGGAATGACAAATTGAAGAGGAATGGCATCACATTCATCATTAAAAAGAATATTTCAGAATCCATCTTGAAGTACAAGTCTATGATAGGATTATAGCCATGCCCAGTTAACACCATTATTACTCAAATTCACGCACCAACCACTAAAGCCAATGATGATGAAATTGAAGAATTCTACCAACTTCTTCAGTCTGAAATTGATCAAACATGCACTGAAGATATACTGATAATTACTGGTAATTGGAATACAAAGGCTGGAAACAGATCAGTAGTTGGGAAATATGGCCTTGGTGATAGAAATAATACTGGAGATCACATGATAGAATTTTGCAAGACCAATGACTTCTTGATTGCAAATATCTTTTTTAAACAATATGAAAGATGACTATACACATGGATCTTACCAGATAGATTTCACAGATATCAAATTGACTATATCTGTGAAAGAGATAGTGGGAAAGCTCCAATATCATCAGCCAAAACAAGGTCAAGAGCAGACTGTGGAACAATCAATTGATCATTAAGCAAATTTAGGCAAAAGCTCAAGGAAATTAAATCTACAAGATCCAAAATATGACCTTGAACTGAATTTAGAGATCATCTCAAAACAGATTTAATTCAGTACACACTAATGACCGAAGACCAGAAGAGTTGTGGGATGACATCAAGAATATTATACAATTATCAGGACTGATTGTGAGGGTTGGAAATGTAAAGGTAGACGTTTTATAGCAAGGAGGGGAGTGACTAACTTTTCAGTCTAGGAGCGGAGGTCCCTAGAACCATCAAGGGAGAAGAGCAGAGAGCGGGACCCTACCCAGAGAAGCAGTGATGCCTGAAATGGAGCCAGAGATGATGACGTGGAACGATGAAGCAGCTGGAGACTTTAGATCCAGAGAGGGAGAGCGACTGTGTGCTGAAGACCTGGGGGGTACAGGGGAAGGATTGCAAGGAGGGGATTGTAACCATGGCAATGAGACGATATATGATAGAATGAATGTAAAACTAATGTTCTCCCATGTAAACTATCACATAATTCATAATAAAACATTAAAAAAAAAAAGAATACAGGAAGAAAGCAAAAGATAATTAAGAAGATAAGAAGGAAAAGAACAAAATAATGTCCAAAGAAACTGAAACTTGCTCTCCAGTGCAGAGATGCTAAAGCAAATGGAAGAAATGAAGAGGAAAAAGAACCGAACAGAAAATCTCAAAGGGCAGCTCAAGAAGACAAAGTCAAACCAAAGATGGAGGCAGAGATGAGGACATGGAGAGAGGGAGCAGCTGAGGACTGAAGACTCCGGACTCATGGAAAGAGAGGGACTGGGTACTGGCAACCAGGAGGCAAGCTTACAGAATGTGCTCTTTGGTTGTTTAAATTATTATATATTCCTGAGTGTTTCTGCGTACACACACACCGCCCAAAAAAGGGGGCAATGGAAGCAAATACTGTTGAATGATGATGCATGGAGGAGATTATAATCGTTGCAATGAAACGATGGTGTAGAGCTGATGTTCTCCCAGGTAAACTAGCACTCAATTCACAATAAAAACTTAAAAAAAAAAAGACAAAGTCAAGTATAATATAATGTGCAAAGACCTGAAGTTAGAAAACCAAAAAGAAAAAACATTTCTCAAGAAAGAACTGAAGGAAAACCTTGTAATATTGAATACTGACTTGTAATATTGAAGGATTCTATGGGTAAAATATTGAATGATACAGAAAGCATCAAAAATGATGGAAGAAATAACACAGAGTCACTACATCAAAAAGAAATGTTTGATGTTCAACCATTTCAAGAGATAGCATATGACCAAGAGCCAGTGGTACTGAAGAAAGAAGTCCAAGATGCATTGAAGGCATTGGCAAAGAACAAGGCTCCAGGAATTGATAGACTGTAACTTGAAATCTTTCAATAAGCTAATGTAGCATTGGAGGCACTCACTAATCTATGCCAAGAAATTTGAAGACAGCTAGCTAGCCAACTGATGAGAAATGATCCAGATTTGTGACCATTCTTAAGAGGAATGACCCAACAGAATGTGGAAATCATCGGACAATATCATTAATATCACATGCAAGTAAAAGTTTGCTAAAGATAAGTCAAAAACAATGCAACAGTACATTGACAGGAAATTGCTAGAGGTTCAAGTCAGATTTAGAAGAGGATGTGGAATGAGGGATATCATTGCTGATGTCAAATGGATCTTGGCTGAAAGTACAGAATACCAGAAAGATGTTTATCTGTGCTTTATTGACTGCAAGGGTTTTCGACTGTGTGGATAATGATAAACTATGGACAACATTTTAGGGCATGAGTATTCTGGAATAATTGTGTTCATGGGGAATCTGTACATAGACCAAAAGGCAATTGTTCAAACAGAACAAGGAGACACTGAATGTTTTAAAATCAAGAAAAGTGTGTGCCAGGGTTGTATTCTTTCACCATATTTATTCAATCTGTATGCTGAGCAAATAATCCAAAAATCTGGATTACTGAAAAACATGACATCAGCATTAGGGGAAGATTCATTAGCAACCTGCAATATGCAGATGATACAACCTGGCTTGCTGGAAGGGAAAAGGACTTAACGTATTTACTCATAAAGGTTAAAGAGCACAGGCTTCAATATGGGCTGCACCTCAATGTAAAGAAAGCAAAAATCCTCATCACTAGACCAATTAATAACATCTTAATAGAGAAAATGTTGAAATTGTCAACAAATTCATTTTGATGGACTCACTATCAACAGTCATTGTAACAACAGTCTGAAAATCAAATGACATATTGCATCAGGGAAATCTGCTTCACAAGACCTCATTAAAGACCTTAAATATCTCTTTTAGAGCAAAAATGTCAGTTTGAGAACTAAGCTATGCACCTGACTCAAGCCATGGTATTTTCAATAGCCTCATATGCATGTGAAAGTTGGACAATGAATAAGGAAGACTGTAGAAAAATTGATGCATTTGAGTTGTAGTGTTGGTGCAGAATATTAAAAGTACCATGGACTGCCAGAAAAACAAACATATCTGTGTTGGAAGAAGTGGAGCCAGAATGCTGTTTAGAAGCCAGGATGGCTGACTTCATCTCTCATACTTGAGACATTTTATAAAGAGAGACCAGTTCCTGGAGAAAGACATCAGGGAGAGGGTCAGTGAAAAGAAGGAAAATCCCCAATGAGATGGACTGACACAGTGGGAAGAGCAATGGGCTAAATAAAATGGAACAACGGTTGTGAGGATGGTGCAGGTCCGAGCAGTGTTTCGTTCTGTTGTGGATAGGGTAGCTGTGAGTTGGAACAGCAAAGCTGCAGAAACAAAGGGTCTAGGAGAAGACTACAGGGGCTGAAATGGACAAGGTAGTGTGGTGGGTGTAACAGGAAGGATGCTAGGTTGGAAATGAAAGGAGACCTAACTGTACATCACAAAACTCTGGACTTTGTTGCTGTAGAACTGTCCTAAGGAGAGGCTAGAGTAGATGATTTGTGATGTTCCTTCCAAAATAAACACACTGGACTGCTAACCATAAGATACATGTTTTGAGCAGCCAGCCACTCCCCAGGAGAAAGATGAAGCTTTGTGCTCCCAAGATGATTTAAAACCTCAGGGTCCCTATGAGTTGAAACCGACTGGATGGCACTTAACAACAAGAACAAAATGTAAAGATGAAACTACCTAATTAGAGTGATAAACCATTAGAATGTGGTAGTGAGAGCTGCTGAGGAAATTGGTCCCCAGGAGAACATGGGAACATCAGAAAGTTAATTGATTCCACATCTTACCTCAAGACCAATTCTATAGGATGGGCTCTCCTTTTGAACTCCATCTAAAAACATTCTTCCTGGGAGTGATGGAAAATTATTCCATTTAAGTACCAACCTGAGTTTCAGACCTAGATTTGAATCCCATCTATGCTATTGGTTAGGTTCATTCCAAACAAGGGTATATATCCTCTAGTAATCTCATATCCTCATGAACCAACTAGACAGCATTTAACAACAACATATGGGAAGGAAATACTCCATATGCAGAGTGCTGTGGATTTAACAGGTTATGAATTTATATCAATAAAGTGCCTAGCCCCTTGTCTGGCCCAGAACAAGTAATCAGTATGACAACGTGGTAAACAGCATTTCTGGACTGTTGAGTCTGAGTTCCAGCTCCGCCACTTAACAAGCTCTGGACTTTGAGCAAGTTGTTTAAATTCCCTAAATCTCAGTTCCTTTAACGAGAGAATGGAGATAGTGATAATACCTATTGCCTAGTGTTGTTACAAGGATCAAATGAAATACTGCACATAAATGTAAATGATTAACTCTGCTTGACACAGGTTAACAACTGCTGTTTCCACCATCCTTGTCCTTCACTTCTCCCACTGCTTATTCAAGTTGGTAAAGTCAGTTGTTGTTGTCAGGTGCCATCGAGTCGGAACCGACTCATAGCGACACCATGCACAGAACGAAACAATGTCCGATCCTGAGCCAACCTCACTACCGCTGTCACACTTGACACCATCAGTGATGCCACTTGGCTGATCCATCTCGTTGGGGGTCTTCCTGTTTTTCTCTGACCCTCCATCTTACCCAGCATGACATCCTTCTCCAGCGACTGTTCTCTCCTGACAATATGTCCAAAGTATGAGAGAGGAAGCTTAGCCGGTAAAGTCAGTGACATCCTGTAAATGCTGGGAAGAAGAGCGTTCGCGTTCATTTGATTAATCCTTGTCTTTCCTTTTTTCAGAGCCTCACAAAGTGCACAAGGTAGACACCAAACAAATAGCCCATTTTGTTCTTTGTATCTTCTAAGGCAAAAATCGTAGAGTTCAAACGGTCCTCCTAGCGCCAAGGAAGAGACGGCAATAGAGCAGAATTCCTTTACCCTATTACCAGAAATACGGATAAAGTTTGATTCAAAAAACCGCTCTGCCAGGCCCTACTCCTTCCTCACGAGCTACTTCCGCCCACAATACAGACTCAGACACATCAAAGAAGCGTGGCGCAACTTAAGGGACGATACCGGAAATGAGGTCACTTCTCTCCGGGGTGAAAGGTCAGAGGAAGTACCGTCTCTTCCTTTCTGCTGTCGGCCTGGGTGGCTACTGTCGGTAGGTAGAGCCTTGGAAAGGGTCTTCCAATCTGCTTCCATCCGCAGCCGGGGTACCGGGTTACGGGGCGGCGTCGGGTGCGTTCTGTTCCTCGGGCTTTGGCGGCTTAATAGGGGATCCTGTCGTGCGAGCAGGGTCGGCAGGGAGCGCAAGCTAAAGATCGGGCTTATGGCCTGGGCTTGCGGGCAGCACTCAGCCCAGAGGGTCCTTGACTCGCCAGATGTCTGAGTGACTTCTTTTCCTTGCTCCCTGCAGAAATGGGCAAGTTCATGAAACCCGGGAAGGTGGTGCTGGTCCTGGCCGGACGCTACTCCGGACGCAAAGCCGTCATTGTCAAGGTACCAGCTTCAGGGACTAATACACCCGCGTGTCGCGGAAGCCGGGACGGCTCCGGAGGTTCCACTGAGTGTTGCTGGTTGAGAGAGTGGGTTCATGGGGATTTTTGAGAAAATGCAAACTAAAAACAAACGAAATGTATTGGGCACCTAATAACTAAAGTATTCTCCACTAAAAGAGATTTTCAGTAACAAAGATTAAGTGCTGTCGAGTCGATTCCAACTCAGCGACCCTGTAGCTGGTGGGTTTGAACCGCCGACCTGTGGTCCGCAGTCCAGCGGACCCATGAGTCTAAATCAACTCGATGGCACTTACCGTCAACATAAACCTTTTTGGATTTCCATGTACCCTTCTATCCCCTCCTGCCAGAGTGCCCTGTGTTCTAGCCACACATTATTGCTTTTCGCTGTTCGGACACTGGGGCACCTCTGACTCACTTCCACCTCCTGAAATTGGTCTAAAGGTGGTAGAATGTGCAGGCTTTGTAGCTGGGCTGCCGCTGTTTACTTTGATTTCAGACTTTACCCCATAAGTAGTGTAACCAGGAGTCCATAATTGATATGGTTAAAAGCGTTTAACGTCCTGGTGTAGTGCTGTGGGATAATGCTTTGGAGAAAGATCAGTTTTAACCACAAGATCAGCGGTTCAAATTCACCAGCTGCTCTCCAGGAACCCCGTATGGTTCAGAACCTACTTAGAGGCACTTAACAATTAGCACAATGGTTAATGGTTCAACCCCATCCAGAGGTGCCTCAGAATACAAGCCTGGTAATCTATGGAGCAGTTTACTGCACATGCGGAGTTACCATGAGTTGGAATTGATGGCAACCGATAACAGCAGTGTAACTATGAGGGTTGTGAGATGCACACACTTCGTAAATGTTTGTTATTTTCAAATTCCTTGCCTTTTCCTGTTACTCTCTGGGCATCAAATATGACTTACCTAGTATTGGGGTTTTTTGTTGTTTTCCTTCTACTGAGTGGGTCTCAAGACATCCGGTGTTGGGAGTTTTCCTTCCACACCTTCCCTACATCTAGCGCAGTGCTTGAGTAGACAGTTAATATGATGTGTAATTCTTTCATTTAGAACATTGATGATGGTACCTCCGATCGCCCCTACAGCCATGCTCTGGTGGCTGGAATTGACCGCTATCCCCGCAAAGTGACAGCTGCCATGGGCAAGAAGAAAATTGCCAAGAGGTCAAAGATCAAGTCTTTTGTGAAAGTTTATAACTATAATCACCTCATGCCTACCAGGTGAGCATCTCAAGAAGTGAGAATGAATCCAGAGGCAGCCTTGGTGGAAAGGGACACCGTTTCAAATTCAACTTATAAAGTAGCTGTAGTTCCCAATCTTCTTGTCTCTGTTACCTAACTTGGAGTCCTATTTCACTTGAAGCTGTAGATTAGTCTTTGTCTGTGAAAAGTCTGCCTTAAGCTGTCTCCTTACCTATAAGTTCTTTGGATGTTGAATACTGATGGTTCATCTGTTTCCATAGTAAACACAGGCATAGGGTCTGGTCCACCCTCTAGTTTAATCTAGGCTGTCAAAAATGATTGGTTAGTGAGTCCATTTAACTGCTGGGGGTCCTTAAGCATGTCACTATCGTGGTATAAAGATTACAGACTACAAGACTTGGGAAAGTCCCAAATGAGAATTGCCCAGAGCTGGCAGCGTGTCCCTACAGTTTGCTACCTTAAAGGTGGTACATTCGTTCAGTATGATGACTTATAAAGATGCGTAGCTCTTAGGTGCTGGGGGCTGAAATTTACAGCTGCTAGCTTCATAACTTTTGCATTTTTATAGTGAGACTTGGTATAGGCAGAACTTGAACATCACTAAATCAGCAGTGGCATAGAAATATAAAGTAGTTGTGGAGAGTTGAGAATAAAAGTGTCAAATTTTTCAGTGGCTTGGATCCATGGAAATGAATCCATTAAAATTAGGAGTTTCCCAAAAATGTTGTTAGGAGAGGGGGCAGACCAGCCCCTATACCTGTTGTTTACTGTGGATGGAAACATAGGAAACAACCTTTACCCAACATCCAAGGGATTTACAGGTGAGACCGCTTAGGCACAGCTTTCAATGAGTGGTTTATCCCCCAGTGTCCCAGGAAAGCTTGGACTGTGTGAAGGCCCTGACAGCACTTGAACTGGTCCTCCCTCCCCTGCTATCACTCCCCAGGTACTCTGTGGATATCCCCTTGGACAAAACAGTTGTCAACAAGGATGTCTTCAGAGACCCTGCCCTTAAGCGCAAGGCCCGCCGGGAGGCCAAAGTCAAATTTGAGGAGAGGTAAGTAGGCTTTGGTTGTTAACTACTGGGATACAGTGTCACTGTTCTTACAAGGAATTTCATTTACCTGTTGATCTCTTCATCAATGTCATTTTTTTCCCCCACCTCTAGGTACAAGACAGGCAAAAACAAGTGGTTCTTCCAGAAGCTGCGGTTTTAGATCCCTTTTTCTTTCAGTCATTAAAAATGCAAAAAATCCCTGTGTCTGACTCTTGCATGTGTTTTTGGACTGGGAATGGGAACATTGCTGGAATGCTAGACATTTGGGTAGTAGAGAAGGACTAGGAAAATTAAAAGTTAAATCTTAACTTTTTCTGAGATTTGAACTAGTATCCTCAGCCTTGTAATCTTTTAGTGATCCCTTAATGGGTAAAGCGTGGTCTACTGAACTGTTTCTTGATGGCTTTTTTGACTGTAGAGTTCATTTTAATCAACTTTTAGAAAAGACATATACATCATTTGTTGACAAAATCTCATTGATTTTTCAATATACTTTGTCCACAAGCTTTCTTATTCCCTTATTTTAAAAGGTTTTAGGCTGAGCTTCATGCCATGAATGTATTCCTTCACTTATTCATCAGAGGTGAATCTTCTTCCTTCAAGGGCTGCTTTCATGAGACCAAACAGGTGAAAGTCTGATGGAGCAAGAACAGGACTATAGGGAGTGTCAACAGTTGTGGGCAGACCTGTGGACGTGCATTGTCATGCAAGATCACAAAGCCCTTGGGTAGCAATCCTGTGCATTTAATATGAAGTTTAAGCTTCAGCTCTTCAGTGAGCCTCTGATGAGCACTGTTGATGGCTGAACCTTTTTTCCTGATAGTGTTCAATACTGACCCTTGAGCATCCCAGAAAACTGTTAAGCATTAATTTTCCAGGTGATGGTTGCCTTGAACTTTTTCTTGGTTGTCAATTTCCATTCCATACTCTGCCATTTACTCTCAGGCTCCTAGTGTTGAATCCATGTTTCTTCACCAATAAAGATTTTTTGTTCCTGATAGCTTTTTATGGGGTAATTCTTTCCTGAGCAGAATTGGCATTCTTGACTTTGGCCTACTACATGCCAGGAGAACATTTTCCCCTCCCCATGTTAAGGCATTGAAAACTACCCTGGCTGGAGACCAGGATTCTGAAACGTAGAACTGGTGGGAGTCAGCTGGATGGTTTTGTTCTACCAGTTTGCTGGGGTCCGGTTCTAGAGAACCACAGCTGTGGTTAAGTGACAATTAGCAAATTCATGGGGTTTTGAGTTGAATTTATGTAAAGCAGAAGGTATATTACCCAGTGTACCTCTCCTACTGCCAGTTTAGGAAGTTGGAGTTGAAGGGATTCTGTAGGACAGGAATCTGCAGAGGAGATTGCTATGCCTCTTCTGCAAATGAACAAAGATAAAGATTCTACCAAATTCTCAGTGTTGATCTCAGCCCTGGTAGCACACTCTACCAAAGTTGTTGCTAAGTGCTGGCCAGTTGGTTCTGACTCAAGCTGTGTAGGATGTACAAAGGATGGTTAGTGCGTCTGAACTAACGGCCTTTGCTTATCCTACAGCGCCACATCAGAACTAAAATGCAAAGGTTAAGTACCTTCGAATCAGTTCCAACTCAGCAATCCTGTGTAGGGATTCTGAGGATCAGCTGGTGGGTTTGAACCGAACTTTTACAGTTACCTTAAGTTCAGGGCTTATCCTACAGCAAGCACCACACCAGGAAGACTCCAATTGCTCCTATAGGGATCCTGTTGCTGATTGATTTTAGTGCTTACTATGTGTTAGTCACTGTTAAGCTCCAAGGATGCAGGAATTAGCAAAACCTTCCTAATTTGAATTGTTTGACATGCTCTGAAGAAAAATCAAGATAGGAAGTGGAAAGAAAAATTGAGATAGGGTATTATTGGATAGCTGTGATGTCCTGGGGAGGAGGGTAAAAGTTAAAAGGACACGGAGAAGGTGAGATATGAAAGCATGAGTGCAGCGAAGAGACAGTGTCAAGTTTATTAGCTGGCTTTGATGCTTTGGAGCCCTGCACTTAGTTTTCAGCTACTTACTGGGTTGTTAGGATCTCATAAATTGGACAACCTGCTTTCGAGGTCAAGAAGGCTCCTCCCAGGGGTGGGGAAGTCTCCGCTGGGGGCGGGGTGACTATCCAAAGAGGACGGCTTTTCACAGAAATGAAAGTGGAAGCCAAGAGCCCTCCGGAACTTTCAGACGTGTGGCTGTAAAAAGGATACAAACAAGCACTTAGTCGTGGTGAATTCTGCCATTTCCTGCCAGCTCTGAAGCCTCAACTCCTGCCAACCGGACCTCCATATCCATGTCTGTTGCCTATGATGTTGTAAGTGAGGAAGAGGGAATGGGGGTGGGGAGAATCAGAGGAGCACTTCTTGGCTGGGAGCCTGCAGGTGTCTCAGGGCCCGGAGGCCAAACTTCTCTGTGCACATCTCAGACCAGATAGAGGATGGCAGAGAAACACGGGACTAGGATTGCTTCTTCTGTGGGGTTGGCTGAGTGAAGCTTCCGCTAATCACCCCAGCACTTCATATCCCGCCTGTCCCTGCTTTATTTGTAGCCCAAACACTTATTTAAATATTGTAGACCATTCAAGCAGGTGGTTTTGTCTGTCTCAGCCACTGTATGAAGTATAGGTCGGGGCTTGGTCTTAGATGCTCAGTGGATATTTTTTAGACTATTTGTAGATGACTGAGTAGAATTTTCATAACCCTCCTATTCTTTCACCTCTATTTCATCTCCTCCCCTCCTTTGGTGTTTGACAGCCCTGGGCCTGCGTATCTTTGTTGTTATGTGCCGTCGAGTCGGTTCCAACTCATAGCAACCCTGTACAGGGTTTCCGAGGCTGTAAATCTTTACAGGAGCAAAAAGCCTTTCTCTCACGGAACAGCTGGTAGTTTCAAACTGCTGACCTTGCGGTTCACAGCCTGATTCATAACCACTATGCTACCAGAGCTCCTTTAATCATCCCTTACTTTGTTTTGTCTTCTCTGCATTCCGTTTTATCTCCTGACTCCAAAGGATCCTCCAAGATTACATTTTAAAGGTTCTGTCCTTTAAAGAGGACCCCTAGTGGGACTGTGGGTTAAGCATTGAGCTGCTGACCTCAAGGTCAGTGGTTCAAACCCAACAGCCACTTTTGAGGAAAAAGATAAGGCTCACTACTGCCATGAAGATTTACAGTCTCAGAAACATTTCATAGAAGTCACTCTGGGTCAGGATCCACTCCATAGCAATGGGTTTGGTCCCTTAAAGAGTTCATCCACATGTCGCTTCAACCCAGAGTCTTGCCCACCAAGTCCTGTCTCTGTCCCTTACCCTTTGTGTGTTCAATGACCTGCTTTGCCTTTGTAGATTTAATCACCTCAAACTCAAATCACTAAAATGACCTCATCCTCCCTTGCCAACTTTTTTGTCTTTGAAAAAAGCAATGTAGTATCAAGTGGTCTTTGGAGATAAAAGGACATGCTTGGCTTATTTAAGCCCATTATTTCATCCTGATAAACTTTAAATTCTTCATCTATAAAATAAAGATTAAAATAGAAAACATTTGATATTCATATACCACTTACTACTATGTGCCAGGTACCAGTGTTCCAAACAAGATTCTAGGTGAAATTTGTTGCTATGACTGTTTTACAAACGAAGAAATCAAGATTCAGGGTGTAAAGTAACTTGCCTGAGGTCATGTGCTAAGAGTTGCTGGGATGAAGCCCAAGAAGGTTGGCTCAAGTTTGTGCTCTTCTGCTAAACTACCTCCCATACTTCCATGATGAATATAAATAAGGTTTTATCCTATCATTCTAAAGTTAGTTTCTAAACTCAACAAGTGAGAGAATAAATGTATACCCACCAGTTGCTCCTTGGAAACACTATACAGGATTGCTATGAGTTGGAATCAACTCAATGGCACATAATAGCAACAGCAAACGAGTATACAAAAGGTACACTCTCTTCATGAACTTAAAGAGTCCTGGTGTGGCACTGTTGGATAAGTCCTGGATTACTAATTGCAAAGTCAGTGGTTCACATTCACCAGTCCCTCCTAGGAAACCCTATATTGGGTCACTATGAGTTTGAACCAACTCAATTGCACTTAACAAACAAAAAAACAATGAACTTAAGGAGAAAGCATGGCAGCTCTGCAGGATAAGCACTGGACTGGGAACCAAAAGAGGGGACCAATTGGTGACACAATGTGAAGTATACAACCAATGTTATTAAATTATTCATATAGAAATTATGAATGAATCTATGTTTGCCTGTATCTATTTCCACCAAACATAAGTATTCTGCCAGCTGCTCTGCAGCTGTTCCAACAAAGATTTACAGCCTCAGAAACCCTATACAGGGCCTTCATGAGTCAAAACCAACTCAGGGACACCACCAACAACAACCATGAACTTAATATAGAATGGGTCACAAAATTTTTAGTAGAACACCACACAACGTTGACTTGCACTTAGGGACTATACTCATGTAAATAAACAGCATGCATAGTTTAATTCAAGTAACTGACTAGAGTTTGCCTGTGTTGTGCTTAAGCCAGTTCTTTGAAAGTTTCAGGAGTTTAGAGACTGGAGGTTGTTTTGTGATTCTTCAGTGAAGTGGAGTTGAACTGTGCCTGGCACATAGCAGGCCCTCAGTAACTGCTAAGTCTCTTCCTTTCCTGCTGGGTCAGTGGCTTTATTCCGAACTCTTCATATCTGAAACCTGCATCATCTTTGGTTCATTCCCCTTCATCTCTAACACAAACATCCACAAGGTTGGCCACATGCTCATTTGCACATGCTCCTTTTGTGCCCACGGCCAGAGGCCCTGGTCACTTCCTGTCACATCCATCCCAATTTGAGTCTTGGAGTCTCGGGTAGTTTTCCTCTTGCTGAGGTCACTGCTCCAGTACCCCAGTCATCACTGCCACATTGGCCATTATTTTATTTACATTTTTAAACTTTTATTGAGTGAATTGAGTGAAGTTTACAGAGCAGATCATCAGTTTTACATTCAACAAATCATATATGTTACTTTATTACAATGATTGCAATCTCCTCCATATACCAACAGTTAACAGTGTTTACCTCTACTCACTTTAACATGGCATTCCTCTGTGCTTCCTGCTACCTTCATCTTTCCTCTGCTGACCTTCCTCTAGTATATTGCCTGCTCTGTCATCCATATTAGCGT